AAGATTAAGACTGAAGCATGATACCTTTACATTTTAATATAAAATGTATTACAAATTAAATTATTGACTAACTTTTTTAATAATAAACGGCAACCCACAAGGCTACCACTTTAATAAAGTCTGGAGGGGCTAGATATACACAACCTTAACCGTGGTGCTTTTGTAATGTTTGAACCCCCAACCTTTACCTCACAAGGTAAAAACTTTAGCATTTCACAAGACTCATCCCCAATTTTGATAATTTTCTTCTTAAAGTAATGAACTATACATATATACAAAATATTAAACTCAAGAATAAAATAAATTTTAATGATAATCAGTATGAATCTTCCGAAGTTGGGTAGGGTGCACTAGATTAAGTACAATATTATTTTGGGTCGATTTGGTTGACATGATATTGTAGGATAATTACCCTATCTTTGTATGATAAATTGTTTAGTGCATCAACAAAATGATATTCTTACGCTATTACCTATCCTATCATGTTAGTACAATATATTTCTTATCCTAACCAACTTGTATTACCGCTAGCTCTCTTATCATGCTCGTCATATTGTCTTTGTCAACGTCACAACTTTCACCACTTTTGTCATTGTATCCCCTCCTACTATCATTGTTGCATCATCACCCCATGTATATTATCTCGATCATCATTGTCATCTTCATCGTAGCAATCACCAATGCTGCTGTCGTTATAGCAATTACTACCACTTCAATCATTATTGTCAAAACTTTTATTTATACTTTTATCATTGTTGTCGTCATCACACTATCATCATGACATCTCTACAGTAGAAACTATCACTAAATTCTCACCTCTACCATTAGCATCATAATTTTGTCATCGTCATTCTCATCACCACTAGCAAACATCATCGCTTCTATCATTGTTACCATAACCTCCATCGTCACTTCTACCATTGATGTTATTACAACCATCACAACTTTCACCATTTTTGTTACTCTCACCACCATTCTCATTGTTAGAGGTCTCAAATCTTCTAAAACTATGGTTAAAATAAAGTATATAAATGGGTGCAGAGTTTACCTAATAAGTTCATTTTGTAATGTTCGGTTCGTATTCTAATATAATATTAAAGTCTATCATAATTAAGTTTGTGTTAGGTTCCTTTGTTTAGGAGACTAAACAGAACACACGCTGTTCTCACAATAATACTCGAAATAGTAGAAGATGAAAGTATGTGTATGTATATTATTGAATCTATAATGTATACCCCGAAGAAAGTACAAGTAAATGTTCCCTAAGGAAGCCTCCCCTTCCTCCATTGACCAAAAGGTCAAGTCTAAATCAAAACAAAATATCTAATTCCCTCCTCACCAACTCAGCCTTTATTTATACTCTCTCTCCCCTAACAAACTAACAAACTTTCCCGCTATTTAATTCCCTAACATTAACTCTCTATCGGTATTAATATATATATATATATATATATATGTATATATATATATATACCGTTCAGCCCTTACTTCCCCTTTATTCCTCCTCTCATATACTTTTAACTTTCTAACAGTTTGTTAGATCCATCGTATCATTTACTATCAAATTGCTACTAGATCATTCACAAATATTTAACCTACAAGATGTTCAAACCTTTGCTCGAAGGTGGGGTTTTAAAAATCCTACATCATGTAAAAATATAGCTAAAGTACAAATCGTATATAACAAGTGATTTTGTAAGATTGAATTGAGTTCAAATCCAAATTCTAATAGTAAACTATCATCATTGCCGCCATAACTACTTCTATCATAGGTCTTTCCATCATATCGTAGTAAGTGTATTGTCCGGTTAAACTAATTTTCCATTATCCTTCCTCATTAATATTTTTTTCGTTCACAATTCTGAAAAGTATACAATAAAAGATATTTTAGGTCCTCATATCTAGTGCGTAGCTTTGTAGCTTATGACTGAAATAAAAATTCATGTCCTTAAATACATAGCACGTGGAAGTAATTATTCCATCTTTTCTAATAACTTATTCCGTAACCAAAATGTAACTTCTCCACCGTTTCAAATATAGTGTCCTTGTTTGCCTACATTCTGAAAAGCCCGTAAATATTTTTCTCCATCATAGGTGTCGAAGGTTCAGTATAACAAAAGGATTTTCATAAAGTTTTTGTTGGTTCTTGGAATCTTCAACCTAGGTTTCTCAGGCTTTCTCTTAGGACTCTTAGTTTTGATCCAAAATTGCAAAGAAACATGAGAACTCAAGTGTAGCTCCATATATATGATCTACCTGAAGAATATTGGACGCTGTGGATTCTTTGCGCTGTAGCATGATATTAAAGTCTATCATAGTTAAGTTTGTTAGGTCCATCATATCATTCACTATGAAGTTACCACTAGATCCATGTTATATAATATTTGGAAAACATTATAAAGCAAATTCCAAGATATCTACCATGTACATGAGAGAAAATAAGTCATACCAATCAGGTAGGCAGAAGAAAGTACGAAAGAATGTTCGAATTCCCCCAATGTCCAGCTGCACAATTAGAGCTAATCCAAAAAGAAAGAATGCCCTCTGCCTTTTCCTTTCTTGTGGCCAAAGTGTATTCCAAGCTGAAAGAAAAAGAAAATTCAAGATGCTTACTGCAGGTAAAATGATTTAACATGGCCATCAGGTATGAGTGTCAGCTAAAAAGTTTCGGCAATTTACATAACAGTAACTGATTGAGGTATGGGTACGCATGGATGAGACTTACATAAATTCTATACACACGCAATAAAATAGATTGGATTCAAAACTACTTCCATTTAATTATATGATTTTTTGAATTTAGTTCAAATTTGAATTTAGATTAGATAAAATTCATATCGATTTAATTTAAATTAATTTAGTTGTTATACCATTTCACTAAGCAATTAAATTATTTCTCAAGATTAAATTGTTAATTTTGGAAGAGAATGCCGTGACTAATAGATGCAAGTGTAAAATGATTCTAATTGAACTCTTTTGTTTTTTTTTTCCTTTTATTGGTTACTTTTTCCGGTTCCTTAATTACTTTTGTTTACAAAACTTCTTTTTTTGTTTTTTTATCTTGTGACAAATAGGAGCACCTACGTATGGGTATGCCCATTTCCAATATAATGACTTATTGTTAGTTGAAATTTTCTTATTTCCTTTAATATTAGTCTTTAGAAAATAATTTATGTAGTAAACAAAACCTATTTTTAACATAATGCATTGATCGCGGTCCAAACAAATTTTTGAGTAAAAATAAAACCGACAAAAAATTGACTACACAAAATGATTCCTAAGGATTAACATTGATTTTAGATATCTTATTCCAAAAAAACCACTCAATCCATGTCTAATTTAAATTCAAGTAATTGGATGAGATTTAAAATCCAAAAATATAGATTTGGCTTTGAAAGGGATCCATTAAAATGAACTTAAAGTGAATTAGAAAATTGGGTTTGAATATTTGGATTTTTTTAGTAACCCTTAGATTGAGGAAAGAAACAAAATAAACATAGTTTACGCAATGTTGAAAACTGAACAATTTAATATCTAAGGTTGTGATGATGAGTGTACTTGATTACCTTGCATAGACAAATTCTCCTTTCTTCTTTCTTGGGTAATATTGTCCTTGGCATGGCCATCTTTCAAAATATTAGAAATTACTGAAGCATATTTTGGAGCTTCTGACAAAGATCTCACAACGGAGTACCCTATTGGATAAAAACACATATTGAACGTCAATAGATTAAATAAGCATATCCATCAAATGAAAACGTGATGAAGTCGTGCCTGTGGCTGGATGCACCATGCTGGCAGCTGCACCAAATGCAAGGTTCTTTTGTTCTGTGTTTGGTAAGGATCCGCCAACAGGTATATAAGACCATTCCTACATTATACATGAAGGAACTTGTACACATCATATTATTCTTGGAACTCGGAAGCGAAAAACTGAGCTTAAAGATAACATGGGTATGAAGGGAAGAACAGGATTTCAACTCCAAAACTGCACTCAACATGTGTGTTAATATTATATATGAATATATATATATATATATATATATATATATATATATATATATATATATGTAGATTTTATTGCTAACATAGGGGTTAATAATAAATTGAACTTCTTTTGGTTTTATACTTTACCCACCGTAGTAAATATCAATTTTTTTAGAAATTGTTTTAACCTTCCAGAATTTAGGTTTTCTTAGCATTCGGTTTTCTTTTTCTTGGTATAGATTAGTTTGGTCTCCCGATACTTATTTGTATATTTTTTTCATTTCTCTTCTTTTATGAATGTTCATTTGATGGTAAATGATTGTTGAAGTTTTAGAATGCCAACCTAGTTGGAATGCTAAAACCTCATAGTGATACTTAACATGATTTATTAAAAAAATTATCAGCATAATAACATAATTTTATTATTGATTTAACACGGTGCGATCCCAGTTGAACCAGTAAACCTTGAACTAGTATGTTAATCAGGTCAGTGACGACACGGTTTTAAAAACATTCTTATTTATAAAAGGTGTAAGCTAACAAACACAAATAGTGCACATGTACACCATAAACAATCAAACCTAGCATTTCCAAAATCCTACCTCTTCGTAAGTTTTAGTGATTCTGATCCCCATTGAATTTAATCTTGAAAAGAGCTTCTTCTTTAGTAAATCAAAAGGCATCGCATCTTTTGACGCTAAACAGGTTTCCTGCAGTTGTCATTTTTACATAAAGTGTTAACAGAACTGTAACACGTAATATAAAACACTAAACTGATAATCATGGAGCAAACCTCAAAAAACACTCTTGTACTGGACATGGGCATTGCATATAGAAATGTTGGATAATTTGCTTCTAGACCTTGAACATTTTGCTTCATGTAGTCTCTGTAATCCATGAAAACCATCACATTTGGATCATAAGGATTGTTTTCCACCTGATATTTAAACAAGAAAAATGTCATTATTACAAGCTATCACATCCTATGCATTTAACTTTTTTAATAAAACTTGTATTAATTAACTTCATTAAAAAAGTATGACAAGAAGAAGCACCAATTTTAGTCTGATTTAAACGGACTTATAAACCGTGTTATTAATGAAAATGTATTAACACCAAATAGTCAAAGAAATAAAAAATATTAGAACTTTCCAGGTCGCAGGATCTAATAATGTGGAGGAGATGAAAATGAAGAAATTAAGGAAATGGGAAAAGATTCTCAACAATAAATGTTAATATGGCATTCATCTAAACCAAACACTTATTAGTAAACTGAAGAACAGAAACAGAGAGCTAGCCTCCGACCTCAACTTCCACACCATAAGCTGTTTGAACAGAAACCTTTGGACCCCCGACCTCATATTGCAACAGTTTCCCCGAAGCAGCTCCTGATGCAACAGTAACAAGCCTATAATAACACGTCAGAAGTTACCATATATAATAGATAAATGGATAAAAGATATTCGAAGTATGTGAGTGATCATACCTGCTGGGCACTACAATATCATATTCACAGACGACATGACTGTGACCATTGCTCGCCTCAATAATATTTTCTACTCTTGAGCTAAGATATGTGACACCTGACTCGACACACCTAGGGAAAATTAATATGAATCAATAATCTACAAAAGTAAATAAAATAATTGTTATTAAGAAATTAAATTACAATCAGTAGAAATAACAGTGATATTAAATATATCACTAAAGTTGGACGATTGTACCTGCTTAACAATTCCTCATGAAGCAGATGCCGACTGACACGTCCATAGGAACGTCCAATGAAAACGGGATCCTCATTGTCGAGATAGACAACGGTATCCTTCCAAACATGTTCAATGCAACCTTCAAGTCCGAGACCTGTGATTAAAATGAATTATTTATCTACGCATAATATCAACTGCGCAAGTATGCGGTCTGGAAAAAATCTATTAGAATCTTACTTTTTGGGGCACAACGTCTAAAACTCCAAATTGAAAACTTCTAAATATTATAGAGTTTATTGCTCACCAAATTTATAAGCATTTCGAAATTCCAGTAAAATGAGTTGAGCTTTGTTAGAAGCTTTTTTCATTTAACTTCCCAAAAGTTAAGATGCATAACTAAATTTTACTTTATATTAGTTCATAGAGAAATCGATGAATTGAACTTTTTCTTTTCATACACCTAAATGAAATTTGTTAGGCATATGTTACTTAGGTTGACAAAGTTACTATTAAAAGAATCTGCCCAAAATATTTTCCACAATGGTATGATATTTGTAGATGGTACTGCTAACAAAGGTAAGGGAAAATGTTAATTCTAAACTTGAGCTCTAAGAGAGATTTTATATAAGAATTTTCGCTTGAGTATAGGAGCAGAATAGAGTATATGTATTATAATTTTAGCAAGACAAAGAAGAAAAATGCTTTGAACGTAACATAGAAGATGCAATACCACAAGTTATAAGCTTAAGTATATAGGATCGATAGTATAAAGAAATTGGAAAATTAATAAAGTTGTCAGTTCAAGATACAGATCGAGTGGTTAAAGGAAGAAAGACATCAAGGTTTATTTATAACCACAAAGTACTGATTAAGCTCAAAAGGAAGTTTTATCGTACTACTATACAGCCACTTGAACTTTAAGGTACTGTAAATACTAAGCTTTAAAAGGAAAACAGATGAAAAAAGTTTATAGTAGTAAAAATGATAATATTAAGAAAGAAGTCTGGCGAGAAAAAAAGATGGGATATGTTACAAGGAATTTTATGGTAAATAATATTTATGAGAATTTGATTTTTGACCGCATAACGTGTAATCGACCTAATCTGTTGGGAAAAGGTTATTGTCATTGTTCTAGTTGTCTCTAACCCACATGGCCATGTGGGGATTAGGTTATTGTCATTGTTTTAGTTGTCTCTAACCCACATGGCCATATTGGCTAGTCCGTATATGGGTTAGACTTGATTGCGGTGAGCTAACAATATTTTAAATAAATATCACATCATATATAGATAGCATCAGTAGAATGATACAGCAAGAATGATACCTCTAAATTCGTCCTCCCACACACCATAATTATTTGTAAAAGGAAGATCCGGGCCAATAAGCCCAACTTTTAGTCCCAACTTGGCTGATTCAGCAGCCAGAGCAAGACCAGCCGGACCACAACCAATCACAACTAGATCTAGTATATCATCTCCTATGGGGCGCAACTGCAAGAGTGGTTAACAACAGGTTTTTAGTAGTAAGAAAACTGAAATACAAAACACAACTTAGTTAAGTATCTCCGCAACCGGTCCATCAGCGCATAAACCTTAATATGGCTTCAGAGACACGAAACAAAACCATCATCAGAACGAAAACCATCATCAGAACGAAAACCATCATCACACCTCAACTTCATCCACAGAACTCAATTATAAAAATGTCCTCAACAAATATAACGCATTCCTCAGAAAAACAATACCCAATCACTTTATCATTAGCATCTCAAGATGGCTAATCACTTATACCTAATTTACTTCATGTTTGTATAACTATGCCCCGTATCAATTTATAGTTTGATACTATCCGTGAAGTGTCTCTATTTTTTTGAAAATAATAACGAAAAACAAATAAAAATACATGAGAAAAAGAAGCATGTATGACATAAAAGCATGGTATCTTAATAAAAAAAGTTGCCCTCTTCATGGATAACTTTAAAAAAGAAATAAAATGTATAATACTGTTTTTATTTGTAATCAATCGACTACAATATTTATAATTTTATATTATAATAACATCCAAAATGTATATTCTTAATTTAGATTTACATTATTATAATTATTATATACCTACCATGTTTTCGTGAATTTTACACCCATTAAGAAAATCTCATACTATTTTTAAAATAACTGTATCGACAATGGGATACGTCTCGTATCTAGTACATGTATGGTCTCTGTTTATCATGCAAGATGACGATTCAAACATAAATAGAAGCTACGGCAACCTAAAAGCGAAAAAACCAATCGAAGCCTACAGCAATATCCGTTAAATTTTCAACCAAAAAAATAGAAACACAGCACAAAAATTCATCCAAACTTCGGGAACCTTTCAGGACCAATCATAACTATACTCAACCTCCAACAGAAAATAACAAGAATCAAAATCCAAGAAACATGAGCGAGAGAACATGAAACCTTATCCACGATCTTGGATTGCATTTCCATGGCTTTGTTCTGTTGCATTTGTACGAAAACAAGTTCGGAGCCTCCGGCCTTCACGTAATCGTCCTCATCGGCGAAGTCTTCTTTGGTCGCCACGCAACTCTCGCTCCCTGCCTTCGCCTCCACCTTCAGCAACCGCGAGCGCCACCGAACGCCGTGGCCGCCAGACGCGGTTCTTCTTCTCCACATCTTCTTCCGCAACCTCAACCTCGACGAAGGACTCACGCAAAACGCCATTGCCGCCAAGTTTCTCGCTGCAACGCACTCCATTTCGTTGTCGTTTTCAGTATACGCCACTGATTTAGTAGTTTCTTTATCACTCCTTCCTCCTCACCATGACATTAAGTCGTTGCGTGTGAAGCACTGAAGATGTAGTTACGATTCTTAAAACGACGACGTCCTCTGTATCACGCCAAACGTGTGTGTTTTCGTGCAATGGTTGAGTTCGCTTTCTGTCACAGAGGGATATGGTATGCGATGCTTCGATTTTAATTTGGTGGCATGTTTAACAGCGATCCGAAACTTCCACGTGGCACATTTGGATTGGGCGAATTTTAGAAAAGGCTACCCTTATCCAAAACGGTTCGTGAAAAAGTCTACAAAATATAGAGTCAGCCACAGAAAGAAAAACAAAATGTGCGAATGGGAAGCAATCTAGACCGTACATATGATTGATCCAACGGAGTCCGTTTTAAAATGGTAATAATAATTCTCGTGGTCCAACAGTGTATTTTCCTAATTTTGAATATTCAATTTCATAAATCTTCGAAAAATATAAACAAACAAATTTGATATAATCTTAAAATTAAATTTAGATAAATTAAATTACAATTTTTAATTTAATATCACTACTGCATTTTATATATTTTCTGATATTTTTTAATAGAATTGGATAAGATTTTCAAGATTTGGAGGACAAAAATTGATTGATGTCTAATAACATTAATTAAATTTGTTGTTTCTTTACATAAAAAGAAAAACATCGGCCGAACCTGAGAGGATGCACATGCAAGGACGATCATCTATACCAATATTAAAAGTTCACGTTTCTCTTTGAATGAATAGGTGTAAAGAGATTCTCCACTTTGAATTCTAGTAATTTAAAAGGATGAAATTATAGTTGACTGGCAGATTCAAAATAGTTTTTCCCCTTACTCTTCAAAGTCAAACAAAATTTATTTAAACTAAAAATTATCTTACAAACTTTAATACACTCACTATATTTAAGTGTTTGCCTGGGTCAATGTTAGATAATAACACAGAGAATCGCTTTTCAAAGGACATATTTGCAAAGATAAATTAAAATAAAGAAATAGAGAGAAAAACAAAAATCAACAAATAAAAAATAGAAAACGAGATAAGAAATTTGCAACTGTTTTTCTTAATGTAATTGGGAAGAAACGAGATTAGTCAATTCTTAAGAATCTCGCGTCGATTGTATAAGACGCAAATATAATAAAATATTTGATATCGTTTGAACTCAATGTTTGAAGAATTAAGAATTTTGACTAATAAAATTGTTATGAGGTTCTTTGCTGAAGACTTAGATTTTAAAGATTGCACAAATTTAATTTGGAATTTATCCATATTTAACTAGTCTTATGGAAAGTTTTACACAATAGGATACTTGTTGACACACAAATATATAACAAGAGAAGTTTGAACTTACCCATTATATTTTTAAAATATTTCTTTTATAATTTGTTTTTATATATACTTATAAATAAATATTTAAAGTATGTTTAATTTTATAAATATTTTCTAAAGTTTTAATTGATTAAATAATTCAATTAAATAAATTAAAATAATTATTACATTTACATGTTAAATTATTCTATTAAAACTAATAATTATAATGAAATTAGTAATTTTAATGATTTAAATTATAATAGTATTACCTATTAACATATTTATAAAAATATAATATGAAAAAATAATCTTTTTAATAATTTTAATTTTAACTTTTAATTTGAAAAAAAAAAGATAAAATTACCTTGCCAAACCAAAATAGACTAATAAATTGAAAATTCAAACTCAATCCGTCTTGTTTTTGTGGGTTGACTGACGGAGCACAACTCATGTTGACACCCATATAAAAATACAATATAGAAGTCTCACTATATTATTCTGGTGTTCTTTGTGCATATAGAAGAAGAAATCCATATTTTATTTGAATACATAGGTTTGCTTGAGATTTTGGTTTAAAGGAATTTTATCTACGTTTTTGCATATTTCATTGTATCATTTATCAAATTGTCATAAAAACTTTTGTTGAAATAAGACAGGTCTTTGACATTCACTCACACTTGAAAGAACAATATAATGTTTTGTTGAATGAGAATCAAATATTAAATGCATGTTACAAGTGGAATATCACTGTCCTGAATATTGAAAATAAACTAGTAATAATATAGAATATGTCATGTGCAAAAAATCAATAGACAAAATTCAAGATTTGTTGTTGAAAAAATCGCTACTTCCCAACTTGGGCGCATGCTATGTCATATCGTATTAAATTAAATGAATGATGGTGTGGTTATGACGAATTCCAAGCTTTTGAGTTGCTTTATCCTCATGTCCGTAGGTTTGTTCATTTTGTCATTTACACTCAACGGATTTGTTGTTCCCATGTATTTTCCTTTATAATATTTTAAAAGTTTATGAGATCCAATTTTATTTAGTTCAAAATCAAAATTATTGGTCGAGTTACTACATATCATGTTTCATACCTAATCACACCATGTCAACAATCAAGAAGGCCAATAATTAACTGTATTATTCACGAAATGAATGAGTCAAAATTTAAACAAAACCAAAAAATGTTCTTGTGAAAATGAATGTTACAATAAAAACAATTGTACATATAAACAATAATAATTATATGTTTCACTTATAATTTGCATTATTAATAAATGGTTTACTTTTTCATCAAATCTTTTTGTATTACCAATACCCATAATATAAATATATTTAGTTAATGAAAAATTTCTTATGTTTTAACAAACACCACTCTCACTGTTTATTTCATTCACAATTAACAATTATAATTATAAAAAATTTCCAAAACATACACCACACAATTTTTTTACACAATCAAAACTATGTCATAATGAAGTCTTGTTAGCATACCAGAACTTCAATACAAAAAATAATGCTAAAATCGTCGTGCATAAGATCTACTTAAGTTCAACAACAATTACACATAAATCGATACTCCCAACACGACTTTAGTGTTTTAACTTTTAGGAGAAATTACACATCCTTACACGACCCAAATTTATGAAAAAAATGAGATTTGTAACATTATAAAATGAAAATAAGTTAATTATTTAATTAAATATTATTATGTTTATAATATTTATAGTTTATTATTTACTTTTTGTTGTGAATTTAATTATTTTGCTCCTATGAATAAATTATCTAAATTTTCATGAAAAAAATAAATTGAATTATTCTAAGTATTGATTAAAATACTCCAATGTATAAATTAATATTTCAAGGAGAAAATAGTTAATTAAATTTTATCATAACTAAGTATTATTTGATATCATATTAAACGACATAGTAAATTCATAATATTTTTAATGATTAAAATAGTAAAAAAACTTCTCCCATACCTACAACCTATAATTTATGAATATGAATAAATGGGTCTATTTTAAGTCAAATTTATTTAAATTTTAAGTCAAATTTAAAATTAATTTTATGGTGTATATGTATTTTAATTATAAGTTCAATATCTGAAGCATAGGTCAATAAACTAGTCAAAACCTACAAGCATCAGTACGAGTAATTTGTATCCAGAAAAACGCGGCGAAAGACAAAAAAAAAACTAGAAACGTTAGCGCCGTTTATGTTTCCGTACAAACGGCACACAGCAAAGCCAACGCATTGTTTGGACAACGAAAACTGTCAACGAAAGACTGACGCCGTTGGATCCATTAGTTCATTCAAAACTACAAAGTTCAAAGCTCAAAACCAAACAGTTCTTTCTTTTTTAATTTCATCCTTCTGAACAAAAATTCCTCAACTCGGGTTTCCCTCCTCTCCGACAGTGCTAGGGTTTCACTCTTCGTTCTAACGTTGAACTTTCGTTCTGCAAGTAAAATTCAACAAACACTTAGTAGTTTAAACTAGCGTAGCATGGATTTGGAAGAGGAGCAGGAGTACGAGGAGCAAATGATGGAGGACGAAGAGGACGAGGACGAGGACGAGATCACGCAGGAAGACGCGTGGGCCGTTATCTCGGCGTACTTCGAAGAGAAAGGCCTCGTTCGTCAGCAGCTCGATTCCTTCGACGAGTTCATCCAAAACACCATGCAGGAAATCGTCGATGAGTCTGCTGACATTGAAATTCGACCTGAGTCTCAGCACAATCCTGGTCACCAATCCGATTTCGCAGAGGTATTTTCCTTCATATTCCTTTTTTTCCCCTTTTGTTTTATTATGCAATGTTTGTTAGGTGCAGGCACCAGCTTTTAAGGTGGGTTCCCAAGTGCTCGGATGCTTATCTATTGGTATCAGAACTGGTTGTTGGTGTATCAGAAAGGAGTGCCGACAAAGGTTTCTTACCAATGAGGAAGTTGACTTAAGTGTCACAGGGTGGAAGGGTTGAGTGAAGTGTCACTCAGTGAAGAAATTGAGTACAGTGACACTAAGTGAATAAATTGAGTAAAATGTCACGGAGTTGGGAAGTTGAGTAAAGTGTTACTAAATGAAATGTCCTAGAGTTGAGACGACATAGGTGGTACTATGATAGAGACATGGGTACTATAGAGTGAATTTGTTCGAATTGAGTAGTATGAGATGTTTGGTGTATTGTTTAGAAGGTGTCTGCTTCTCTCTCCTTGATTGCTACGTGTGCTCGGTTCTCTTCCATAAACAACTAGTTTTTTAAGGGTGGATTCCGCAAATACTGGAGTGATTATCATTAGGTTACGTTGAATGCCGAAAAATGGGTACTTGGTTCACTTTGCTGCCGTGTAAATACTATCTCACCGTGTTTTAGATGACAGTTTTACCATAGGAGCTTAAGCAAGTAGTGCTTTCTTTCATTGACTATTATTTTTTATTCATAAATTAGTTAGGTTAACTACTGTAGAAATTTTTTCTTGCTGTCTTTCACCCATTTTTAAATAGGTTCAGGGTTGAGACCTCAATTTGGGTTATGTGAGCACGTAATGAAGTATTAGTGTACTTACTTTTTGTTGGGACAACCTTGTGATAGTTAACTAGTGTTGCTTATAGAGAAGATCGTTCTCATCAGAGACCTGTTATCAATTGCTAAGCTTTTTGAAGTCTCTTTGTATGCTAAACATGATTTGCCTACTAAACTTGTTAACTATTTCAGTCATTATGTTAGTGGAGAAAAAAGAAATGTAAAAGGGATTGGTGCCATGAATATGAAATTTTCAGATTGTTTCATGAGGTTTAGAATGCTGACAGAACAAACCAGGAAATATTTCT